GTTTTCATTATCTAGTGTTTGATCTGTAAGTATATGAAGCGGATAGAAAGGGAATTCGAGTGAAAGCTGTCAAAATTTTTTCTAGAGTCACCGGTGGAGAGCTCTTCGAAGACATCGTAGCGCGCGAGTTTTACAGCGAAGCCGATGCAAGGTGAATTTATCATATTTCGCATGACTGTATGCTTTATTATGATTCATCGTTGATGCTGTTGATGCTAGTTGACCTACCGGTTCGTAACTAAGAAAATTCCAAATAAGAAGGTCTGTGCAGCGACGAAACGCGTTGTACTAAATTTGTGTTTCATACTATGGGTCCAGAAGATGGTCGATATTGCATAGAGGACACTACGTACTATGCTTGCCACACAGTTGCAGTCGGCTCTACCTTTGAAATTAGGCATACCAGGTTGATGGTATGGGATTGGTGATCTGCATCCAACCACCCTTCATGAAAAGCAGAGCTGCAGAAATGGCCTCTTCGTTGCAATATAAGGAAAATCAGCATTCTAGCGGCTGCAGACTTTCCTTTTTTCAACAAGAAGAAATTAAATTTGCAATAAAAAGGATTTTATGAACATTCAGGCATGCACAGAGTTTGACGGCCAGTCGAACGTAGAGTAGGCGTAGCTAGGGCATAAATTATGTCATAGATATTGTTGTCGGGTTGTCATATACTAGCCCAGGTTTATCAGCTATGAACAAGTACTTGTTTGACACGACTTTTGACTTGCCGCTTTCCTGTACTATTGGATGACATGCAGTAGGTGTTTGGTTTGAACTGCATATGGCAGTGGGCCACTTCTTGAAAGTGGAAATGGTAGTCGATCCAATCTAAAGATGATGATATAAAGTTCCCGATTTTAATCAGTCTGCTGTATCTTTGTAGCCAATATCCCTGTCGTTAGTTTCGACACCATTTTCTTCCTTATGTTTTTACTAGCTGTTCATTCTTCGATTCATTCGTTCACACATAAATTCATTAATACATTCATTCTTGCATCCTTTTTTCTCACAATTTCATTCAGTTTAAATGCCTACATTCCTTTTGGTATAGCTGTTTAAATAGGATTTTCCAATGTTTCCATTTTTGTGCAATCTGATAAACGCGATCTGCTAGCTTCCAAGACAAAACAATGACAGCGCTCCTATGCAGTCGAGTTATCTAGTCCACGGTGTGCCTATCGACAGTCTTAAGTGTAGCTTTTTACAAAGATTCCGCTTCGTGAGTTTCTGTTGTGTCATCCAGGCCGAATGCACCTTTAATGCGGTCTCACTCTTGTCAGTGCTGTGGTGTCACTTTCTAGGAGATCGTTAATCATTGTATTCCTTTTGAGCATTTATTTAATAATTGTTACTATTTTGTTATTGTTACCGTTATTATTATTATTAGCATAATCATAAATATGGAGGTGGATGCTTTCTATGCGGGAATTTTGTTCAACACTCGACAAGTACTTTACGTGATTACTCTGCATATAAATTTATTATGTACAAGTTCTACAACATTTCGGATCGTCCTCGATTTGTCTCCAGGGAGCATCCTCACTATCATTGTGTGAGAATTGCGTTCCTTCTCATGGCAATCGAACTGGTAGTTGCTGTCGATCATATGACGAAAATAAAATGTTGAAAGTTTCATTGCGCCAATGAACTTAGTACATGTTTTGCGTATAAAGCTTGCAACCCATTAGAAGGATGGTGCGAATCCTATATCAGATTAATATAATTATATGCCAAAATTGCGCGTGTTATTTGTTTCGTGTGGTATTTACTGACATTTATCTGGATGAAAAGTTTAGTCTTACCGCAGAGTCACCATTGCTAACACAGGTTCTTGACTTCTAGGCTGAGGATCGCTCAAAAGCAAAAAAAAAGAATGAAATGAAAACTTGTAACCGTTGTAGTGTCCTCCTTTCTTACACTTTCATGATACGGTCATTTTTAATAACGTTTCTTGAAGTTAATGATAAGTTGCTGATGTTAATTTCTGTGCCATAAACCAGAAATGCTTTATAGGCAGGGTTGACTGTCACAAGCACCGTGTGTAGTTTTCTCTTTCCTTCCTACAAAGTGGAACTCGTTTATCAACCTGACAAGGAACGAGGACAAATGACCTCTTGGTTCTGTATCAGATATTCCACCGACTGAACAACCGCTGTCTCTTCTTGTTCAAAAATACCTGATCACTGAATATGTTCTGTTTCTAAGAATCATGTAACTGTTAATCAACAGTTCAGCTATGGCTATGTTCATAGTATTGTTTGTTTTACTTGTTTTGTAGTTTATTTTTTGTTACAGTTTCACTTGTTTGTTTTTTCCACCACTGCTTGTTTATAATCTGCTTAGCACATATTTGTTTTAATGTAAGCTGAAGAGCAAGATGTTCTTGGTTGATCGTTGTCAAGCAGCAAACTTTACATTTCGATTTAAAGTGTCCACCACGTTTTTAGCAATACGGCAGCTTTAAGCGATAGCAGTCAGTAGGATTATTCTTAAACGGCAGCATTACGTCAATTAGTTACTTTGGTAATTGTATGGGAGAATTTTCTAAAGTACAGCTCCGCTATTCAAATCATAGACACAACAGTTTCGTAACGAAAGGTTTTTCTGAAACTGCAAGCACGAGAGTATGGGAAACACTCTTGATCATCATCAACAACGTCTGCTAATCTTCGAGTGCGCAGGTAGCTTTCACTGATTTTCGTATCGAACCATATTTTAATTCCCTCTTCTAGGTCAGCAGAATTTTCAAGAAGAGAAAACTCATTTCATTGATTTGGTGCTTCTCCATTCATTCAATTAATACGGACCACTTATCGAGTCGGTCTGAAAGCGCAAAACTTTTAATATGCCATGGACATCTGGATGAGCCTTGGCCTTTGCTATCTACAGTTTGACTTCGTTAAAATGGTTCCTCAAATTTCTCACGTCTCGAAATATATCAGCACTAGTGGCAATGCGTCGGTCGTTTTTCCTCATTTAAACAAATTTGCTTTGCAACGGTACTCAACGCATTTGGAGAAGTAACTTAAGCATATAATATTCTTATCGATTAAATGCTACCTAAAGCATTATTATAAATCTTCGCCTGAGTTTTCTTGTTCTACACCATGTTCAGTTTGCGTATTTTCAGTCATTGCATCCAGCAGATATTGGAAAGTATCGCCTACTGTCACAAGAACAACGTCGTTCATCGGGACCTCAAGGTGAGAATGTGCCATTCATCTTCGCGTTTTGTTTAAGAGAAACATATTCAGCCAGAAAACCTTTTGTTGGCTAGCAAAGTCAAGGGAGCCGCAGTTAAACTCGCGGATTTTGGGTTGGCCATAGAAGTGCAGGGTGACCAAGAAGCATGGTTCGGTAAGTTATTAATGAAAGGATTTGCTTTCATTCCGTAACATAAAATGAAGTGCGACACGAGTGAAGCATGCTCATTAATACTCAGCAGGCGTGTGTTGCGCATATTAACGTAGTGCATGATGGTATTCCTTTTGAATCTTTAGGGGGGAGGGTCTTTAATACCATGGGGCCATACCATTCTGAAGGGATCCCGTAGTCTATTTAAAAAAGGGTGTGCGAATACTGGATGTGAAGCGATACACAAAATAAAATTAAGTTTAAGTTGAAATTCGCGCTCGAGCTATTTATGCGGCAGATGATACTGTAGTGGGTAATTCATAGACGAGCTGACAACGCATAAAAGCTTTAATTAAAAGTAGTTTACGGTAGGTACTGGCGTTTTGAATCAAGCTCGGTCCATTTTCGATGTAACTATGATATTTGCGCGGCCTCAGCGTATGGCATGGTATATGATAAGACCCAAGCCGAGGGGCGGCTTATATAGGCTACAGCCTAATGGCATTTCCGACATATATGCATATATATTCAGTGAGGACCTTTTTTGAGCAAGTTATGTTATTGTCTCTGAACTCTCAATATCTGTTTTATTGAACGGCGGTAAAGAATAAGATATAGTAATAAAGAATAATCACGTTAAGGATATAATGACTTGAATAACTGTTTCTATGTTGTGATATTTTACTGCTACACTTTTATGATTTAACATTTATTTACGTGTATCGTTCACGCTCCCTTCTTCTGCAGTCCTGGAGGATTTTTTACGG